TTTCTAAATGGATTTGTTAGAGGTGTATAATGATTGTAACTGCCACAGTCATTGAAGTGTAGCTTCTATATGCCTGTAAGTGGGTTGTGACTCTGAATTGCACCCCTGTGTTACATGGGAGGGGGGAGCGGGAGGAAAGGGATGGTTTTCCTGGACAAAAGTGTACTATTATGGTTTACTGTGAATTTGTTCAGGGAATTGCCTTTTGGAAAAAGACAAATGCTATGGTGGCTCAATCTGAATATGGAGTTGCGTATAAGAGGGTTATTTTTCCTCTTGGTCATAGTTGTTCAGAGCTTCTTTTTTCTTTTTAGTTTAAACTCATATCCCAGGCATATGAAGTTCTGTCGGACCCAAAGAAAAGGGACCTCTATGACCAGGGTGGGGAGCAGGCTATTAAAGAAGGAGGCCTGAGTGGCGGCAGCTTCTCTTCACCCATGGACATCTTTGACATGTTCTTTGGTGGTGGAGGCCGAATGAATAGAGAGAGAAGAGGTACACAGTTCTAAACAAGTTTTAGAAACTCTAACCATGCACTTAAGCATAAAACACCTGTGCTACAGTACTGCTGTTCTGCTAAGTGCACATAGTGTGGATATTACTCATTGCAACAACAGATGAAGTAAACTATGAGTTTTTTTAAGAATTTTTTTTAGTTACTCTAGCATTAAGATTCTAGTGAAGTAGATAACATGACATAGCTAAAGCAATCTTTCTGATAAACTTTTTTTGTTATAGCGGGTGTGGGTAATCAGTAGGGGAGGGGGCAACACTGGTAGGTTAGAACAGTTGAATTAGACCTGGTTTAAGTTATTCCAGATCCATGCCTTGGTTGCTCATATGCTTTGGGCAACTTGCTTCAAAGGACACCATCAACTTAACTTCAGTAATGTCAAATCACATTAAAATATTTAGGAGGAACAATGTGAAACTTGTGGTACAGAGTGCTGCCAAAAGCACAGTATGATTTTTGTCTTCTTCCATGCCCAGTGGCTGTTGAAGGAGCAAGTAGTAACTTGTAAAAACTTTGAAATTATGCTACAAAGTGGTATGGAAATTTATAGGTAGGCACAGTAGCAACTTCTAAATTGACTAGATCTGAAGCTGGTAGTGTCCTTGCATCTTGCTTTCTTAGTTAAGCTTACAAAGTCAGGGGCAGGAGCAGGGGTAGGGTGGCTTTAATGATGCTTTGCTTAATTACAGCTGAACTTTACGTTCTGACGTAAGTGGGTGCAGCTCAGTGGAAGCTGATGGAACTGCACATGCTTTTAAGGGGACTGAGCTGTGTTCAAAGTTTGGAATGAACTTCACATGTCTTCAGTGAGACTGCATGTATCAACAGATGTAGAAACCCTAAAATAAGCATTTGTCCTCAAAACAGACCAACCAGAATTAATCTTTCTTCTTTGTTTTATTAAAAGGCAAAAATGTTGTGCACCAGTTAGGTGTATCTCTTGAAGACTTATATAATGGTATTACAAGGAAGCTGGCACTGCAGAAGAATGTTATTTGTGGAAAGTGTGAAGGTAAAAAAACAAGCAGTGGTTTACTCCAAGCTTTTTTTTTTTTTTAAAAAAGAACATTGGAGGGGGGGAGGCCTGAGACTAAGTGTGAGGTTTTTTAGAAATTTCTCTCCTTCCCCTTAATTTCCCTTCTCCCCCCCCCCCCAAAGGCTGGCC